AGATATACACGATGGAATATTACTCAGCCATTAAAAAGAATTCATTTGAATCAGTTCTAATGAGATGGATGAAACTGGAGCCCATTATACAGAGCGAAGTAAGCCAGAAAGATAAAGACCATTACAGTATACTAACACATATATATGGAATTTAGAAAGATGGTAACGATAACCCTATATGCAAAACAGAAAAAGAGACTCCGATGTATAGAACAGACTTGTGGACTCTGGGAGAAGGCGAGGGTGGGATGTTTCAAGAGAACAGCATCGAAACACGTATATTATCTAGGGTGAAACAGATCACCAGCCCAGGTTGGGTGCATGAGACAAGTGCTCAGGCCTGGTGCACTGGGAAGACCCAGAGGGATCGGGTGGAGAGGGAGGTGGGAGGGGGGACCAGGATGGGGAATACATGTAAATCCATGGCTAATTCATCTCAATGTATGACAACAACCACTGCAATGATGTAAAGTAATTAGCCTCCAACTAATAAAAATAAATGAAAAAAATTAAAAAATTTAAAAAAAAGGAAAAAAAATAAAAAATAAAAAAACAAAAAAAACCAAAAAAAACCAAAAACAAAACAAACAACAACAAAAAAAAGATATAGAGACAATTCAATGTATATTGATTAGCTGAAGGAGCCAATATAAAAAGCCTATACACTGCATGTTGCCATCAATATTACATTCTGGAAAATGCAAACCTTTAGAAAGACTAAAAAGTTCAGTAGTTGTCAGGGGTTCCAAGTGAGGTTTTGAGGGATGGACAGGTGGAGCATGGGAGATTCATAGGGGATTCAAACTCCTCTGCACGACACTATGTTGGCTGAGTACAAAATATACATTTGTCAAACACTAAGATACTGTAAAACACATAAAGTAAAATAAACTGTAAACAATGGACAATAATTAATAATAACATATTGATATTAGTAGATCAATTGTAACAAATGAACTCGTATCCATGGAACCAATACAAGATGTTAATAATAGAAGATACCAAGTGGAGGAAGAGTGGTTGTATGGGAACTGTCTATATTATCTGAATTTTTTCTAATCCTGAATCTGTTCTTTAAAAAAAGAAATACAGAGGGTCAACAAACACATGAAAAGATGCACAACATTGCTCATCATGAGAGAAAGGCAAATCAAAATTACACTAAGGTGTCATCTCATAATGGTCAGAATGGCAGGCTCCCCCATCCCTGGGATTCTCCAGGCAAGAATACTGGAGTGGGTTGCCATTTCCTTCTCCAATGCATGAAAGTGAAAAGGGAAAGTGAAGTCGCTCAGTCGAGTCCGACTCTTAGCGACCCCATGGACCGCAGCTTACCAAGATCCTCCATCCATGGGATTTTCCAGGCAAGAGTACTGGAGTGGGTTGCCATTGCCTTTTCCATACAGTGGAATATTAGCCATAAAAAGGAATGAATTTAAGTCACTTGCAGTGAGGTGGATGCACCAAGAGCCTGTTAAACAGAGTGAAGTAACTCAGAAACAGAAAAAGAGTGTATGTTAATGCATACACATGGAAAATAGAAAATGGTACTTATAAACATATTTGCAGGGCAGGAATAGTGACATGTAGAGAATGGTCATGTGGACACAGCATGGGAAGGAGAGGGTGGAATGAATTGAGTGGCACTGACAAAAATACAGTACCAAGCGTACAGCAGATAGCTAGTGGGAAACTGCTATCTCAGCCTGGTGCTATGTGACAAAATAGAGGGGTGAGATGTGGGGCTGGGAGGGAGTCTCATGAGGCAGGAGGAATATGGACACTTATAGCTGATTCATGCTGTTGTATAGCAGAAACTAACAAAACATTATAAAGCAACTATCTGTAAACTAAAACAAGTTTTTAAAAAGTCTACTAATTTAAAAACTAGAAAAAAATATGGATAAGAACACACAGCCAGTACAGAGTTATATGCACCAATGCAAAATGAGTAAAAGTCAGCAATAAGGAAATGCAAAATATCACACTAAGTATTTGATCCTTGAATTAAAATGCTTAGGAAACAGGCACAGAATATACTGACACATGTAACGAACTTCAGAAATCTGGCATAAAAAAGACCAACACAGAAAAATCAAGAGACTGGTCTGGAAGAATTGACAATTATTTAGATCAAGTAATAGAAAATACACCGTAAAGAAAAGCAACCATATAAAAACCGTACCTACAAAGAATCCTTAGAAAAATGTATGCAGTCTACATGGAGTAAACAAGAATTTCCTGAGACCCTTAGGAAAAAGAGTCTTACAAAAGGAAAAGGAGTCTTAAACAGTGTCTTTTGTGTATACATGAGGTGTACATATTGTAATACTGTCAATTTTCCTTAAATCCTTTACAGATTTAGTTCCACACCCTGAGTAGTTGAGACCACAATCAAATGTGGGCGGCTGTTTTCCTGTACCCAGAACAAACCATGGAAAATTTATACAAGAAATACAGAAAACTACTAACAAAAGCAAGAACACAAAACTAAATAATCCCTGAGGGACAATGAGTCTCCATTGAACTGGACCCTATGAGTGCCCAGGTCAGGGAGTACGTTGAGGCTGACACAGGTGTGCAGGCCACAAAGGAAACAGAAAACAGGATCAGCTGGAAAAGGCTTTGAACTGGAGCAGATGATTCTTCCACCGGGCCGTGGGACCATGAATCTCTACTGCTTCACTGAAGGAACCTGAGGCAGCATCTCAGAGCCCCATGCCAGGATCATGGGGCACCAAAGTTTGGGGTGGACATGGCAGTATGGCCCAGAGGTCATGAAATAACCAGCACAAACTTTGTTAGTGGTTGACAACTGGCACTTTTAAATGACCAGCTTAAGAGACTATCACACATGGACTAGAAGAGAAAAGCTTGTATCCCAGTAAGTGTACAAAAGGACAGAAATTCATCTCAGAACTTTCGAGCAATGTCCCTGGAGTCGACGAAGAGCCCACAGTGAAAACTGCCAGGCTAAGGAGCTCCTTCACTTTCTCTACTGGGATTGTGTGAGGCATTGTTGGGGACAGGGATGGAATTATACTAGAAAGGGAAGGATTTCCAGGCTCCACCTGCAGTCTATATGAAGATCCTGAGTGAGATGTGAGGGGTTCCACACCACAGAAGGCATTCTCCCACCCTTCCCTCTTGCTTATCTTACCTGCAACAGCCATTTCCAGGAAGCCTTAGGCAGAAGCGTCCAGATGAGATGCCGGTGCACTTCTCACCAGGACTCTGGCGATTTGACATCTCCCAGGTGAGGCCCTGTCCTCAGGTCAGCAGACGGGACGTAACACAACATTACGGTCAGGTAAGACAGGGATAGGGAACAGGGAGAATCACTCAGCACACAAGAAGGGGCCCCAGAGTGCCCTCACTGTCCATCTCAGCAGCTCCAGGAAGGCTGTCAGGCTCAGGCTCCCAGATTCTTCCTGCTTGGTTTACTGAGAAGTGCGAGGGAAGGAGTGAGGCCAGTTGACTGAGCTCAGCAGGGACGTCACAGGACCCACTGTGAGTCGAGGAAAGGACCACATCCTCATCTTGCTGGAAATTCCCCCGGAAGCCCGCTCACCCAGGCCCCGCCCCAGCTGTCCTCCTGGAGCCCCAATGCGCATGATAGGAAGTGACGGCCGGCTAACCTGGCTGGGGCTCGATGCTATCTTTGAGAGGGCTGCTATCTTTTCCTGATTTTTTTTTCATTTATCCCTACTAGCTGGAGGCCAATCACTCCACAATACTGTAGTGGTTCCTGTCACACATTGACACGAATCAGCCATGGATTTGCATGTATCTTTGAGATCTGCTGTAGCTATGACCAGAGGGAGGAGTCGGTGGTCTCATCAGGGGTCGAAGTTGGAGGTGACCTGAGTTACAAGTGCAGGGATAGGCCCTGGCACTTCCCACACCTTTCCATCAGAAAAGATTGACTTCACAGTCCCCGGGCCACCCCGCTCCTGCTGTCTGCCTTGAGGCATGGGCCAGGCTATTAGCTTCAGTATTCATCAGGTACCCATGCGGCTTCACGGGACATAATTGTGGGTCTGGGGGATGGTGGATCTGGGTGCGAGGTTGGTGAACCCTGGCTCTGTTCAGTAGAGGGAAAGTCCAGGACTCTGTGGAGTGAAGGGGGTACTGAGGGCCTCCACACCACAGAATGGAGGCCACGCCTAACCCCCCACCCACCGCGACTTGGCGCGAGAGCACCCAGGAAGCATCCAGGCAGCTTTAAAGGTTGAGGGGCTCCCAGACTACGATTGCCTACACGGGACACTCGGGGAAGACCCCTCTTCCCCGACCCCTCATTCAAAACAGCTTGCAGCCGGTTAGTGGAGGGAGGATGTCAGGGCTCGGGAGGAGTCAGGGTGACGACCATCCTCCCCATCACACGGGTGACTCAGGACCCTCCCCTGTGGTCAGCGCTTCCTCCCGTTCAACCATGGGGAAGGCAGGCTGCACTTTTAGAGAGGAGGATAGAGCTTGGTTGTGAAGGGACAGCCTCGAGACAGCAGAAGGGCGGTCCCAGCGCCCTTCATTGGGGGCCTGAGCACTCCCTCCTCTCCTCTTCTGCGGTGGCAGGGAAGGTGGCAGTTTAAACTTCAGAGCGGGAGAGGGAACAGGGTGGGTCTATGTGGGGGGTGTCAGATATGGGGGAGTCTTGCACCAATTTTCATCCTGATTCTGAATGTGAAACAAAAGGACCTGCCTCCCCTTTCAGCCCAGCTGACCCCCTTCTAACACCCAGGGAAGGCTGTCTGCATGTGCTCTAGCACTCACTCTTCACTTCTTACTCAGGGGTCTCAGGGGATAGGCTCACCAGAGCACGTGCACTGTAGGTCCTACAGCACTGGCTTCAAGGACCCCTCAGAGGCAGCTTTGGTTCAAGCCAGGGAGGACTCTCCTTGCTGAAGGTGCTCACAGAATCTCCTTGTGCTTACTGCAGGTGCCCTCGGTGCCAGCCTTCCTGCCCGCACGCCCACCTGCAGTCCCTGACCTGTGTCATCATGCCTCGGAGGCACAAGAACAAGTACCATGTCTGTGTGAAATGCCACCAGGTCAGATGGGACACTCAGGAGGCCCAGGCCACTGCTGTTGCAGCCCCAGGAGAGGAGTGCCCCTCCTCCCCCTCATTTGTCCCTCAGGCTTCTCCCCCAAGCTCCCCTGCTGCTGGGAAAGCCATGGCCCCTAGCTCTCCTGATGCAGAGGCTTCCTGTGCAGGATCTGATGAAGGTGCCCAGGGCCCAGAGGAGGAAAGTGCAGATGCCGCCCAGGCAGCCCCGGCCACTCAGAGCACTCTCAAAGATCCTCTGACCAGGAAGGCCAAGATGCTGGTGGAGTTCCTGCTGGAGAAATACACCAAGAAGGAGCCCATCATGCAAAAAGCCCTGCTGAAAGTCATCAACAGGAAGTATATTCATCACTTCCTTGAGATCCTCAGGAGAGCCCCTAAGCACATGGCCATGGTATTTGGCCCGGAGCTCAAGGAAGTCGACTGCAGCAGGAACATCTACTCCCTCATCAACAACCTCAACCTCGGGGGCGACAAAAGTCCAAGTGATGAGGGGAAGCTGCCCAAGTCCAGTCTCCTTATGATGCTCCTGGGGGTCATTTTCATTAAGGGTAACCGAGCCACTGAGCAGGACGTCTGAGAATTCCTCAATGTGTTGGGGGTTTATTCTGGGAGGAGGCACTCAATCTATGGGGAGCCCAGAAGGCTCATCACCAAAGATCTGGTGCAGAAGAAGTACCTAAAGTACCTCCAGGTACTAGTTCCTGAGGGGCCCAAGAGCTTATGCTGAGACCAGTAAGATGAAGGTGCTGGAGGTTCTGGCCAAGATCCACGATATGGTCCCTAGTTCTTTCCCAGACCTCTATGAAGAGGCTCTGAGAGATCAGGTGGAGACAGCAAGGATGGGAGGTGTGGCCAGGCCTGCAGCTATGGCTGAGGCCAGTGCCCCTTCCAGGGCCAAGTCCTGCAACTCTTCTCATACCTAGGGAGGGTGGTAGGGGCACTTTGTTCCCTTTGTGTTGGAAGAGAGCAGTTAAGCTCCTAAATAGTGCAGAGTAGTAGGGCTGGAGGGAACAAACTTACATGTTCTTAACAGTTTTAAGTAGTAAGGGACTTTTGGTGCAGTTCATTTTCCATAGGAGAAATATCTAGTGAAAGATGATTTAAAGTAGATTTGTAAAGAGATGAGGGAGGTGTTTAGTATTTTCAAATAAATGTTCATTACTTTTCATAATGTTTATTGTGCTTCAGAATACCAATATATTAATCATATAAATCACATCGTTTGCTGTTTTAAAGTTTTGAAACTGTAGTTTGGGTATTTGTAAAACACATTGAAAGCACTGAATATGTTGTTCACAATCCTAACAAGGTAAGATGGACATTGGAACAGAATGTTCTCAAAGAGTAGTCAAGGTTCTAGATAGTGCAGGTTAGTCGAGCAAACCAAGTTTCTATTGCATTTTTCTTCCTGTTTAAACTAGTAAATTCTACATACTGCTTATTTCATTTTTATCAAATAGTTTTACCTCTAAGAGTTTGTTTTTCTTCACAATATTAATTTGGTAATAATATTGCTGTTATATTTATAGCTGTTTTAAGATTTTTAAAGTTAGAGTTTTGGTAGAAGTAAAAGAAATTCATGAACCATCTGTATTTTCTTTATGATCTGGAAGTAGGTAACATGGTGCTAAAAGAGATTGTCATGATAATGCGAAAGACGTCTACAAAAAACATTGAGAAACTGAAAAACAAGAAAAAATAAAATAAAAAGCATTTAATTTGTGGTTTGCCATATTTCTTCTAACAGTTTTTTATTTTGGTAAAAATAAAAAATACTTTGCCTTAATTTAGCTCATTTAAGAATATTTATTTCTTTTATCCCAATGCACTGCATAGTCTCTACCATCTACTGCATAAAAATAACTTCAGATGGGAAGGTGGTATTTTGGGGGTTCATAATCATAACTTCCATTAAAGACCATTGTTTCTTAATCAGTATGACTCTGTTTTATATGTAGTACATGCATTCCAGCATTCATGCAGGATAGGATTTAGCAACTCCATTTATAGATGGATAACCTGTAAATTTCTCAAATTCGCAAGACTGATAAAGTGACCTTCATAAGACAAGTCCCCGGATGTGCATTAGTCCAGAGTCCATCCCTTTCTTTGGAAGGGCAAAAACTGAGGAAATCTCTTTGCACCAGTGACACGTTTGGTACCGTGACTAGGACTGCTGCCACAGTGAACTCCAGTGGTCTTGCCCAAACTGCCAGCTGCAGACTCCTGACTTTTGCTCTGTCTCCCATGAGAGTGTATTTGCTGTCTGTCACTCTCTGCTTTGTTCTCTTTCCAAGACCCACAGGGCATAATCTGGGTCAGCTCACTGTGTCATGGTTCCCCTCAATTAAAAGTTACAAGGAGTACTCTTGTAACTCCTTGGGAATGCACAGCATACCCAAAGAACACTTGCGTGGCAGTTGACACTGTCCTTGGGGCCAGGTGGAAACAGAATTTCCAACGGTGAAGGTACCCACTGAAACCAAGACTTTTCTCCTCTCAATCTTTGTCATTTCCTGTATAGCTCTATCCATTTTGAGGTGAGAAGTTTAACCAAGATGACTGCATGACATGCAAATTAAGACTGTACAAAGAATCAGTGACTTGATTGGGTGAGTTTCCCCTCATTGGGTCCTCAAACCCAATCCCGTCCCTACTCGTTCTCAGTCCCATTCTGGTTCCCGGAGTCCAGAACTACAGCAGGGGACAAAACTGGGTGACACTTCATCCTTCTCTAGATTTTTGGCCTGCCTCACTGCACCCCCGACAGTGAGCCCTTCTGTCCTAGGGGTCTCAAGCCGACTTTATTAACCCTAAAGCAGAGGCAGTGAGTGAGCACCTTTCTCATCAGGATTAGGACTCTCTGCCTAGGACAGAGTCCACTTCCCCAAGACCCACAACCAGGAACTCCAACCTCCCTTATTTTGTAGCTCTACACCTTCCCTCGTATCCTGGATTTCTCTTCTATCCTGCTCTCCAGACTTCTCAGACTGTCTCTTGATCCTTGAGCCTCCTTGCTGGTTAGGTGTTGCCTCTTCCACTTCTATAAAGTAATGTGCCCACTCACCAAGTTGTGTTCAACTCTTTGTGGTCCCGTGGACTGTAGCCCACCTGGATCCTCTGTCCATGGGATTTCCCAGGCAACAATACTTGAGTGGATTACCATTTCCTTCTTTAGTGTATCTTCCCAATCCTGTGATTGAACCCACATCTCCTGCACTGCAGGCCGATTCATGGCACAAAGCCACTTCAGGAGTCCAAAGAGGAGCCCTCTTGAACATCACAGCGACAATACCCTGAGGGGAACTTTTGCCTAGTATTCATATCACTGCCTTGTGGTACTCCAGTCCTACCTTTCGGCTCTCTCTTTTTCTTTTACTTCAGTGATAAAGGTAAACTTTTTAGTTGACTCAGAGCCTAGGTCTCCTCCCTCCCTCTCTGAAGAAAGACAGGCCCGTGGACGCTGATCATTTTTCCTCCCACTGTCTTCTGTTCCTTTTCAAGACTAACCCAAGAGGCCTCCTCAGTCTCACCGACCAGGTAGATTTCAGGTGGTCACAGGGAACTGACTGTTCATACTTGGAGTGCACCAGAACAAATAACTCCCATTGGTCCCTGTCTTGTGACATCCTAACCCAAAAATGGGGGGCAAGTCCCATACATCCAAATTTTCATTTCACTATTCCTAAATCCAGGTCTAAATGACTCCTTTCAACTCTTGTGAAGGGCTCACACCCCTTTCAATGTGCCTCCTCCCCCAACAGGAGACTGATATTTTAGATGATCAGCTTACTAGTCCACTTCCCCAAGATCCACAACCAGGAACTCCTACCTCGCCCAGTTCTGACGGGGGACAGTCTAACAGACCATCTACCTCTAGTGCACCATCTGGGCAGCTAGAGACCCAAGACCCCATAAATCAACTCATGGATTTGGCCTTTGGTGTATTCAATGATAGGGTTGAGGAGGCAGAAAGGATTCAGGGACAAAGCAAATAGCACAATTACACAAAGTGACAGCTCAAACCCCTGCACCACCTCAGGGTTACCCTCCCTTACCAAAGCCCATGGCGGGGACAGAATCCAGGAAGCCTGGATCAGAGCCACTGTCTCAGGCAGAAAGGATGGATCTACGTGCAGCCAGGAGGGTAACTGGAAGGACGAATGCTCCCTGTTTGGGAAAAGTCCGCCAGTACCCTACCCGACAGATGTACAAACGAGAGGGCCTCAGGAAGCATGACCACAGTATGGCCAGTCTTGTAAGATACTCAGGGCTGCCAAACCAAGCTGGCCGAGAAGACCAAAGACTGACGGAACCCAGGAACCTCTGTGGCTCCCAAAGGACATCTGGTCATTTCTCCAGAGGAGCCTTAGTTAACCCATGATGTGGCAGGGAGGACAGTTATCTTATACATGGGTAAGCTACTCTGTGCTGACTGATTTCCCTGGGCACTTGTCCTTCCAATCCTCCATGATAATGTGGATTCTGAGGAAGGTTCCAAACCAATTGATCTGCCTCTCCCCTCAAATGCTTGCTAGGAAATTTTACCTTTGCTCATCAGTTTCTGCTCATGCATGATTGCGCCCTCCTCTTGTTGGGAAAAAAACTTGCTCACTAAATTCCAGACATTAGTCCAAGCTGGAGGTCATCATGGAGAAGGCACCCACCAAGAAAAACAAGTGCACTTGGCTGGAGAAGCCTGCCTCTACATGACAGGGATAGAATAGGATAAGATACAGGTAGCTGTCCCAGGTGATTCTGTGTAAAAGAGTCCACCTGCAATGCAGGAGACGAAGGTTTGGTCCTTGGGTATGGACCATCCCCTGGAGCAGGAAATGCCTACCCATTCCCGTATTCCTGCCTGGAGGATCCCATAGACAGAGAGCCTGGAGTGCTGCAGTTCATGGGGTTCCGAAGGGTCAGACATGAATGAGGGACTGAGCACAGACAGACAGACAGACAAGGTAGCTGTAGAAGTCTAGTAGGGGACGAGAGATAGAGAAACCTAGGAACCATTTGTAGACCTTAGTAAGTTAACA